TTGTTGTATTTGCATGTCGTTGAAAATTAGTCCATAGCAAATACATTTTTAATTTGACTGACAAGATCTGCATTTAAATTGCTACAATGTCATAAAAAATATTATTATGGAGTTTATGTACAAGTAAATTAAAGTTTGAATGTTACATTTTAGCAGTGTTTTCCTCATTTTTATTTGTACATGCAGATTATGACAATTGTCTTTCTCAGTCTGATGAAACTAGCAATATCTATAAAAATGAGGGCTGACTACCAATAAAATAAAACAAAAGAAAATGGATAAAATTACTTGCATCATATGCTTGCTGATTAATTAGCTGCCTATGTCAATATTTGCTGAGAAGTGTCTATAAATAAAAGTAATTTAAGACACTGCATTTTTGTGGCAGACAAGTAAACTGTTAATTAAACAAACAGTGGCTTTGGAAGTCAATATATTATTTGTTGTATTTGCATGTCGTTGAAAATTAGTCCATAGCAAATACATTTTTAATTTGACTGACAAGATCTGCATTTAAATTGCTACAATGTCATAAAAAATATTATTATGGAGTTTATGTACAAGTAAATTAAAGTTTGAATGTTACATTTTAGCAGTGTTTTCCTCATTTTTATTTGTACATGCAGATTATGACAATTGTCTTTCTCAGTCTGATGAAACTAGCAATATCTATAAAAACAAATCACTTCGACGTTTCATAGTTTGTCACAAATGTAATTTTTCAGTCTCAGACACAGAGAATCTTACAAGTCTCAAGGGGGAAATGCGGGTATACTTGTCATGTGTACACACATATTTCTATAAATAACCACATTGCCGGTTTCCTTGTCCAACTCTTGCATGTCAGTCACTAGCCGCTGTGATGATATTATCAACTCCTCTGAACAAAAACAACAACATATGGTATATGGTATATAAAATATGATTTATGTTGTGTTTGTCATAGATTCAGAGCAGAGATGGCAAAACTACACACATCCTTTACTCAAGTAGAAGTACAGATACTCATGTTTAAAAAGACTCTGGTAAAAGTTGAAATACTGACTACACTTTTTTTACTCAAGTTAAAGTAAAAAGTATGGGCTCTGACATGTACTTAAGTAAAAAGTAGCCATTACTACTACCTGTTTTAGTGTCACGCTGGTAACTGGAGCGCATGTCATATTAATACATTAACACAAAATAACTCACAATTCAAATTTTGTTAGCTAATGAAGGTATCCAGGCTGAACAACCACCATGTAGCACACAAGCAGAGAAAAGACTAAGCTGACAAAATAAATAAATACATTTGCCATCACCTAGGCCACATCCTAGATTGTAGGGTGATTCTGCCTCTTGTCCTTGGAAACAACTCAAAATTATGCTGCTTTAAAAATGGCTAAATTTATGTGACATATACTGTAAATTTTATTTTCAGTTTTAAAATTAATATTTTTAATTAAATTAAATTTTAAATTGTATTTAACATCTTTGTACTTCAATGCACCTTTATTTAGATATTTATATTAAATTTTTTCCCTGGGAGCTTTTTTTTCCTCCTTCTTCTTTTCATTCTTGTATAGTATGCATAATGTTTAATACTTGCAATTGTATAAAATTTATATTTTGTGTTCTTTGAATTAAAAAACAAATGCAGATAGAGATGTTTTACCTGATGAAACATCAATACAATAAACATACAATTGCGACAATATATGGTTTATCTGTGTTCTTCAAGCCATCTCGGGTATTTTTATAAGAATAAAGTAATGTAATGTAATAATGTAATGTAATGTAGTGTTAATCGACTTCTATCACTGAATAGAATACTATAATAGTATGATTTCTGCATCATTATTTGAAATGAAACCAAGTCAGATCACAAAAGGACGTTACTTCAAACACTTAGCTGATGTTTGTTGTGGCACATAAAAAAAAAAAAAATTCTGAATAAGAGACAAATATACCAATTGTCTTTGATGAGTTTTATTTTCTTGCAAGAAAAGGCCAGCAGTCATTCAGTCACTCAGAGTGGCTGCAGAGTGGGACAGTGAAGGGAGGGCATCCTTCCTCTCTTATAGTCTCATCTCTCAGAATGTTATCTCTCTAGGCCAATAATGGTATTTTCAACCCCATTCTTAGACTTACTTATCATATTCTATCCTTGGGTGGAGGCCCTCCTGTCACGTACCAACACCCTTTTACCATTCCATTACAATTCCATATTAGAATAAGGATTATGTGTGCTCTTTTACTGTCACACACATCTTAAAGATCAATAGCTGTTCTTTTTTCTGTTAAATCAGCAAAGAAGCATGTGACTCTAAGCAATACAGAAAATGCAAACAGCATATTAATAAAATTTCTTCCACATGTTAAGTGAATTTGGACTAAATACATGTCATGAAATTTTCTTTTTGTTTGACAACAGGTTTGTAAACAGGCTCACCCACATTGCAAAATTTCATCGCACACGTGCTCCTGTGGTAAATTTATTCATCGCTCAGACCGTTTTTTTCATAGCATGTGCAATGTGTCACACTGTACAGCCCTGGGAATGTCTATCATTTCTCAGTCATGTCGACATCGCTAACTCTCTCTGTCTCATCCATAACATTAGCCATTCTCCTTGCTCCCTTCTGCCTTGCTCCATGGTAGCTTCGTAGACAGCCTACATCTGTGGTCGTGATAGCCAGGAAATAATAGACCAATGGAGTACTCTGATTCAGAGTGCTATAAAAGTCTGAGACCTTGAATGAAAATGCTTTTATTTTGCTTTCTATAAATGAGCAAAGAAATGTAAATAAATAAAAACAATAATAATTACATATTATATTATCAGCATAACAATTTCAGTGAAAATCTAATTGAAAAACAAGTAAGACTTTCTGATTTGGCATCTCATCATTTTGCTTTAATGACAGCAGCAATCAAGCTGCATGAACTTGTGTAAAACGTGTAAAATCTAATGATCGTGTTTTCCAGCATGACTTGAGATGATCCAAAGAGCATCTTGAGCTTCAATGGAAGAACATCTGACAATCAGTACAAAGAGTCACATGGTCAGTGTTACGATGCTGATTACTGACAGAAATATTTCTTCTTCTTTCTGTCATTTTTCTTTAACATCAACTTTTGTTTCCTAAAACTATTTATTTACATGTTTAAATGAGATTTTAAATCCCAGATTTCCATTGTTTACTCAGACTTTTGGATTCCTCTAAATGCTTAAAATTCAGTTGAGTGACAATGATTTAAATAGGTTTAATAAGATGCATGACATGTCATTTGTGCTGTACACCATAGTGTGATCTTACACATAGACAATCTAACGCATCACTTGGGAGAAACCCAGGCAAAGCCCAGTAAAATCCCATCTTTGATCCACTGCCTTCCATAGAGAGTTTTATGAACCATGTCCATCTATGCACTTGAGATGCACTTCTTCACTATGCACTTCTTTCCTCTTCAGTTAAAGCCCTCCTTGCATAATTCACTTGTGTAAAATCAGTGCTCCCTCTCTGCCAGTCATCGTGGCTTTCACTGGGCAAGTAGCTGCTGAAGTTACGGCTTACAGTGGGTCAATCAGACAGGGCAATTAGAATGAGTTTTTAGTGCAGTGGAAATCTCTGTAAAGAGTTCAATATTGTGCAAGTCTTTACTCATAATTCCTCCATCTAGTGAAGAGGCTTTTAGGAGCTTTCACCAGCTCCAAGGAGACACGGTGCAATAACGACTTTCATTTTGTGCTGCCGTTGTTGTGTTCTTTTCTAACACAGTCTATGGATGTAATATAGCATAGTTGTATTCATATTAGATGGATAATATAGGTAACATGTGCATTACTTGACATTGCAGTGATACCAATAGAGGACAAAGCGGTCTTTAGTTACTTGACAATATATTGTTCCTTTACTGTAGTAGTAAAACGAAATAAGAATAATTCATAGCACTCAGGTTATTGCACAATACAAACGCACATGCACACATACATAAAACACACACAGCAATTGCCTTTATGTCCATGGTTAGAAGAAGGGGTGCAGTGGAAAGAAATGCCTTTGCTTTCAAACCAGTTCCCATCCTCTCTTAACTCACAAATGATTTGCGATACAGCCAACATTGCTTAGAGCTGTCTCAGTGTGGTTTCAAAGCCTGCCAGGGATGACTGTGAACTGAAGCTCCCTCTTGTCTCTGCCACCCCAGGGAATGCACCTTCTCTCTGTGAGGGCAGTGTATTTCAAATAAATACTATTCCCATGTGATTTCCTTCTGCTTCTTAACTGAGTATTTCATTTAAAAATGAACGAGTATCAAGAAAAAGTTTGCATAAGACTTCGGAGGCAAAACAGCTTGTGAAATGTAAAATTTCTCTCACCCGTAGTAGCATTTATGATGGAATTGTTTTGTGTTTAGTAATTGATCAGGGTTTTTTTTTCAAATTGAGTATATCCTATAAATCAAGTATATAAGATTAGGTGCAATTCTTTGAAACTATGCAATATGCATTTGAATTTGATAAACTGGTCTCAAGAGCCACTGGTTGTTTTCACAGGAACATTTTAAAGGACAAAGTGTAATTGATCTGTTTCATCCCCCAAGTATTGGTTCTGCTCATTTTGATGGTCTCAGAGTTAATGGAGAGAGGACAGGGACACTTTTGCTTTCTTTTATCTGTCAGGAGGAAATTGGCCAGTGGTTTCTGATAATAGCAATATGTCACAGGAACTGAAGGGAAGGGAAATTGTGTGCAAAATAAATTGATGGTCAGCTAACAAAGTTATTATTTTACCTTCCACAGGTCCATAGACATATGAGTAAGACGTCAGGGAAATAAATACAATGAAATGTATGAATTATTCCTTTGAGCTTGCACACATACATAGCAGACCTCTTGTATGGTATGAAACATGTCATCACTGCTGCCACATGTTGAACTGTATTTCGAATATTGGTTTTCTAATTTAAAGACTTTGTGAGCGTCAGTCAATGCTTTCTTTTTCTCTTTTCTTATCCAGGGTGTACCTCTGGGCCTATAAATGAGACTAAAATGGTGGAAGAGAAGAAAAGACAAGAGGATGAAAGCCATCAACAATGCTCTACCCTGGGGAAATAAGCACAGGCCATTCTGAATTGGTGAAACACTAAGACCCAGCTCTAGCACTCCACTGGTGTGAAAACTTCTCCATTGGAGACTTTACCTTAAATGTATAAGCTATGGTCAGAGGGTTTAATAAGGGGCTGACATATCAGTGCAGAAAGCCCCAACTCATGTGAAATAATTCTCTGGACCAGAGACTGGACATTTTTGTCCCTTGGCTAAAGGGAAAGGGTTTATTACCCTGCTTAAATACTGTGAGGCTCCATCCAGCCTAGTTCAAACTCAAGTGGTACCCCAAGCTTCTACCAACTGGTATTGCTCATGGCTTCCAGGAGGGCATCAGGAGCTAGTAATGGAGGCATGGTGAAGAGTGCCTTCTTCTGGTCTTTGGCCATAATCTATCTGACTCACATAAGTGGAGTGAGGGGGGATTGCTGGCTCATAGAAGGTGAAAAGGGCTTTGTATGGCTGGCCATTTGCAGCCAAAACCAGCCACCATATGAGGCCATCCCTCAGCATATCAACAGCACCATAGTGGACCTTCGATTGAATGAGAACAAGATCAAGAGCATCCACTACTCTGCCCTTAGCCGCTTTACCAACCTCACATACCTGAATCTAACCAAGAATGAGATTAATTACATTGAGGATGGGGCTTTTTCAGCCCAGTTCAACTTGCAGGTTCTCCAGTTGGGTTTCAATAAGTTGCGTAACTTAACCGAAGGGATTCTCAGGGGTTTGGGAAAGCTGCAGTACCTCTACCTCCAGGCAAACCTGATTGAGACTGTGACACCCAATGCCTTCTGGGAGTGCCCAAACATAGAAAACATTGACCTTTCCATGAACCGCATCCAGGTGTTGGATGGGTCCACCTTTACCAGCCTGACAAAGCTGACCACCTGTGAACTCTACACCAACCCTTTCAACTGCTCCTGTGATCTCTTGGGGTTTGTAAAGTGGCTCTCGGTCTTTCCCAACAGGACAAGTGAACGGATGGTGTGTGATTCTCCTGCAGGATTCTCGGGCTACAGTCTCCTAAGCCAGAATCCAAACAATCCCACTTACCGGAATGCTCTGCATATGCTGTCCACTGTGTGCACGGAGGACTACGTGACTACGTACATCCCTGTGCCTACCGAGACCACCACTTACACTCCAGACTCTACACCGTGTGGGCTGGAAGACTGTCCCTCGGGGACTGAGCCAGAGGAAATCAGCATCAGTCCCACGTACATAGACTTAGATGTGAAACCAATCATGAAACTCAAGCAAGTGTCTCACACAAATGCAGTAATCACTGTTCAGATCCCTTACCCCTACAAGAAGATGTACATCCTTGTCCTGTACAATAACAGCTTCTTCACTGATATACAGAATCTGAAGCGGCAGAAGGAGGACATTGAACTGAAAAACTTGAAACCCCACACCGATTACACCTACTGTGTGGCTTCCATAAGAAACTCGTTACGTTTCAATCATACTTGTCTGACACTATCCACTGGGCCTAGGAATGGAAAAGAGCGAGTAGTTAGTAATGCAACAGCCACTCACTACATAATGACTATCTTGGGATGTCTTTTCAGTATGGTTATTGTTTTAGGGATAGTGTACTATTGTTTGCGAAAAAAGAGACAACAAGATGAAAAGCACAAAAAGGCAGGAAGCTTAAAGAAGAACATAATTGAGCTAAAATACGGCGGTGAGCTAGAGGGCGGGACGATATCCAGGATGTCTCAAAAGCAAATGATGGCTGGGGAGAGCATGACCCGCATGCCGTATCTACCTTCCGGCAGTGAAATGGAGCAATACAAACTGCAAGACATCAGCGACACTCCGAAAATGGCCAAAGGAAATTACATGGAAGTGAGAACAGGGGAGCACCCAGATCGAAGGGAATGTGAGATGTCTATGCCTGGCAACAGCCAAGGCTCAGTTGCTGAGATCTCGACAATCGCAAAGGAGGTAGACAAGGTCAACCAGATTATTAACAATTGCATAGATGCTCTTAAATCAGAGTCCACCTCCTTCCAAGGTGGGAAATCTGGTGCTGTGTCAACAGCTGAACCCCAATTGGTACTGATCTCAGAGCAGCCTCAGAGCAAGTCTGGCTTCCTGTCACCTGTCTACAAGGACAGCTACCACCACTCTTTACAAAGACATCACGCATCAGATGCTTCTCCGAAGTGTCCGAGTACAGCCACTGGTGGTCCAATGCGGAGTCCAAGGCCTTACCGCTCAGAGGGGCCCTACAAGTCAGAGTCGAAGTACATAGAGAAGACTTCACCCACAGGGGAGACTATTCTGACCATCACACCCGCAGCTGCGATACTAAGGGCAGAGGCGGAGAAGATCCGTCAGTATAGTGAGCATCGGCACTCCTACCCCGACGCCCACCAAATTGAAGAGTTGGAAGAACCGGATAGTCGGAAAACCTCAATGTTGGAGCCCCTGACACGGCCTCGTGCCCTTCTTTTTTTCAACCGCCTTAAACTTCTGGAAATATCTCTATAACTGTATTTTTCTTTTTTCTTTAAGTGATGATGTTTTTGAAAAGTCTTCATCTGTTGTCATTTTTTTTAAAAGACAATACATTTCAGTAGATTTCAACAGCTGTCAGGTTTATAGGTAATCTAGCAAGTTCTGCTAAGGCAAGAATTTACATGCAGGTCAGAGACATTATTAATTGCATTTATTTATTTTTTTATTGTGTTATTTTTTAAACTTAATTAATCACACTAAATTAGCAAGTCAAATTAACAGCCCTAACACAGACTTTTAAAGGCCCTGAAATGTGCTAGTTTTCGCTGAGTACTTGTAGTAATGCACAGCAGCATTTTATTCTTGGTTCAGTTGACTAGCTCAGCGTAGATTTCCTAACACCATAACGAACTAAAGGAAACCTTTGTTGTAATGTTACTGAATGAAAATGAGGGGCTAAAACAATGATTATTAACTGATTTGCATCAGATCAATCCAAAGAGCCACTTACTGCTTGGCCTTATATTATGAGATGCTGTATGGCATTAGTTAATTATCTGAACTCTTTTGAATGCTGACTGACAGAGGCAGGGTGCATTTAACATTTCTTATTTTGTTTCTCAATGATTCCAGGCATTTTAATCTCAAGGTCAGAGGTTTCCTACAAAAATACTCATATTTGCTCTAATAACCCACATTTCTTTTTGACAGATAGATCCTGACATTTGCAAATGGATAGCAAGCAGCGAAAATTACACCCAGATTTGAGTATTTTTGCATTCATCAAAATGAATTGCTGAATTGCCACATCAAATATATTTCAGAAAAGAAATTACACTTTGTCCCAAATCAAATATAGGCCAACAGTTGTGGGGTTCGAAGATGGCTTGTCAATCCAAAGATCCCAGCAGATTTAATGGTTTTTCATCAAGCCAAAATAATGTGCAGCCTGTCAATCACATCAGGTATCGATCGCAGATACATGAAAAAAAAATGCTTTGTGCTTATTTTGTAATAGTGATAACAATAAAATAATGACAAGTTAAAGGGATAGTTTACCCTAAAAATGTTAAAATTAGCGCATGATTTACTCACCCTCAAGCCATCCTAGGTGAGACTTTCTTCTTTCAGATGGATCCATTCGGAGTTATATTAAAAATTGTCCTGGCTCTTCCAAGCTTTATAATGGCAGTGGGCGGGTGTTTCTGTTCAACAGTCCAAAATAAGTCCTATAAAGCACATCCATCCGTAATAAAAAAGTGTCCCACACAGCTCCGGGGGGTGAACAAAGGCCTCCTGTAGCGAATCGATGCTTTTTTGTAAGTAAAATATCCATATTTAAAACATTATAAACCGTAATCTCTAGCTTCCGCCAACTGTCGTATGCATGTTCATTCTGGGCGGATGACGTAGGACGTATGTGTGACGCATGCGCCGGTGAGAAGTGACGAATGTGGAAGCAGAGAGGAGAGAACAAAACACACAAATTAGAAGTACAAAACGAGGATTTGTAAAGAAAAATGTCGGAGGATTTCGATATAAGTCAAGAGGAGACTGGTTTTCCTATGCTAAAGTAAGGAAACTTTGCTTCCTTTGCTCCTGTAAACAAATGTTGGTTTTCGCGAGACTAGCATATTATCATCAGCCCGGAATGGCTTCCGCGTACAAAAGTTAGCGCAAGCTACAGAAAAGTGGTTATAATGTTTTAGATATGGATATGTTTCTTACAAGAACGCATCGATTCGCTACAGGAGGTCTTTATTCACCCCCCGGAGCCATGTGAGGCACTTTTTTATTATTGATGGATGCGCTTTATTGGACTTCTTTTGAACTGTTGAACAGAAACACCCGCCCACTGCCATTGTAAAGCTTGGAAGAGCCAGGACAATTTTTAATATAACTCCGAATGGATCCGTCTGAAAGAAGGAAGTCATATACACCTAGGATGGCTTGAGGGTGAGTAAATAATGGGCTAATTTTCATTTTTGGGTGAACTATCCCTTTAATTTCGTTATCATATGTAAGTATATAAGTAAATATTTTATTTCACATGATATCTAAACTTTTAAAATAAACTGATTTTACTAACATTTTAGTCTCTGATATAAACCTGGGTCTAATAATTAATAAATTAAACGGAAACCTAATTTAAAAACAATACCAATGGCAATTTAGCAGAAAGTGCATTCACTCTTTGTACATCTGTGTTCGTTTTACATAAAAAATAAGTCATACATTCTCCGACCAAATTTTTTTTTTAAAACCACTACATCCCTCAAAAATCAATGATTTCACTGCTCATGCTAAAAGGATGTTATATTTTTTCTCCCCAGACACGTATGTAAAGCAACACAGGAAAAGAAAGAAAGAAGAAAAAAAAACACCTCACCTGGCTGTCATAACCATATAATTCAACAGAACTTCTTCCCACTTGAGGGTCTTGTTATTGCAGCAGGTCTCTGTGGGATTCTGAACCGAGATTTAATTTCATTGACCAAAGGCTAAAGGCTGTGAGAAGTATTTAATCTAGTCGTGTTCGCTGGACTGTTCACACACTTTGCTCCACATCACCGGATGTTCGGTGAGATGGAGCACTCAGAAGAGACTCAAGAGTTGTATGGCTGTTATATTGCTGAATTATATGAGGTACCACTTGTGTTGCAGCCATAGTTCTTTGTACTGCCGTCATCTGTCTCATCTGGAGAAGCTTGTGAAGAGGTGATGCAGCCAGCTTTACAAAACCCCAGAGAGCTGCTGGAAGATGCAAATGAGCCTGTGAGTGTTCAGATTCACGGTGTTCCTTCTGCCACCTTTGGAGATAAACAAACATCTATCCACATTCTTACAAGCCTCAATAATATTTGACATGAGATGGGGTTAGAGATAAAGAACAGATAAGCTGTCAAAATTCATTTGTACTCATATATTCAAATATGGCACAAAAACACATGCTATGTTTGACATCGATGCCAAATGCCACTGATTGTCTGATGCATTGTAACTGATCAATACATGCCAGTTTGATTAAGCAGAAATGTGACTGAGATCACCCCGCTCGTGACGTCTCGCTGCTCCATTGGACGGATTTGACACGTGCTTCAGAACGCGGTCACGCAAGGGCGTTCCCCAAAGCGATCTCGACGCAGCTCGAGTTCCTGAAGGGGAACAGATAAGCTGTCAAAATTCATTTGTGCTCATATATTCAAATATGGCACAAAAACACATGCTATGTTTGACATCGATGCCAAATGCCACTGATTGTCTGATGCATTGTAACTGATCAATACATGCCAGTTTGATTAAGCAGAAATGTGACTGAGATACAAGGGGTCATAATGTGAAGAATCAAATTTCCCCGTCTTTTGCTTGATTGCTTTATGCTAGTGCATATACAAATGAAAACCTTGAGCTGCTTCTGAGTGTGTTTAGAAGCTAGCGCTCTGCTTATCCTTTTGAAGGAATCCAATAAGTGGCAGAAGTTATTTTTTTATTAAGATTCCTGATTATTTCAGTATCATTTTAATTTATTGTGTGGCACATTTCAGTGCAGATTCTTTTGTGAATTGCAACAATTTGATGTAGATTTATAAAGAGAGATGTGACTAATCTGTGTAATATCTCCAGAAGAGAGAAGAGAGAAAGTGTGGAACAACATCAGGGTGAGTATATTTACTTTTTTTTAAAAACAATTAAACTATCCTGTTAAATCCACTGAACTAGATAAAACATGGGTAAAATAAAAATCTACTTTTTTCTTTTCGATAAAACTGATTTGGCTACTACTTAAAGAAAGCCATCCAAAAGACAACAGTCCAAGGAGAGAGAGAGAGAGAGAGAGAATGACACTACTATAATTCTATGACTGCTGAATATTTCAAAATATAAAAATCACGTACTGATGCTCAAATAGATGTTAAAGGGATAGTTCACCCCCAAAAATAAAAGTTCTGTCATTTACTCACCCTCATGTTGCTTCAAACATGCATGACTTTCTTCTTTTATAGGAAACATAAAAGAAAAATCTGAAGATAAGGACAGCTGCATTTTTCGCAATGCCATTTTCCTTTAAAAAAATCTACAATAAAGAGACATGATAAACCAATATCAGCACAAGGACAGTGATGCTGTTAATCAATAACAGGGCGTTTTAATGGGCAACCACCTAATTGTGTTGCAGTAAAATGAACTATTAGTATCCCACTATTTTTAGCATTTTAAAATAGTAATAAAATATTTTAAATATAAAAAAATAATAATGTAAACAAAAAACATCATTATTTGTGTCATTAAAAAGCATTTGTTGAATAAATATAAAAATATAAAAAAACAATACAACTAAGGCAATATTTTCTAATTAAAAAATGCTAAAATTCAATTTTGAATGGACTTAAGCTTGTAAAACACTACTCCTATACAAACATTGTAGACATAAGTTTGAATCAGTTGGATTTTCCGACAGATGCTTAAAGTACATTAAAATGATGAGATCTATAACAAGGTGTCTAATTTGCCCTGTCCATCAGAGTTGGAGGTTTTTGTAACTTTGCCACTTGTCGGATAATCTTCTAAACATACTTTGAAACCTGAGCTCATCCTGACAATTCTTCCATCCTGAAGTCTTTAATTGAATGTACCTCATGCATGCACAGCCTCTACTTTCATGTTAATGACTCTGCATAGTATGATCGCAGAGGGCCCTGCACATCTGATGTAGATTTATAAAGAGAGATGTGACTAATCTGTGTAATATCTCCAGAAGAGAGAAGAGAGAAAGTGTGGAACAACATCAGGGTGAGTATATTTACTTTTTTTAAAAAACAATTAAACTATCCTGTTAAATCCACTGAACTAGATAAAACATGGGTAAAATATTAACTATTTTACTATTAGTATCCCACTATTTTTAGCATTTTAAAATAGTAATAAAATATTTTAAATATAAAAAAATAATAATGTAAACAAAAAACATCATTATTTGTGTCATTAAAAAGCATTTGTTGAATAAATATAAAAATATAAAAAAACAATACAAC